TGTTGGTGTATCTTGTAGTTTGTAATAAATCATTTATATAATTTCTCTTGTTTAATGGTTAAAACATACCTGTGCTGTAATAAGTTTCCTGGGACGTTGTGGATCTGGATATTCATCTCCAAAGCAAAGCACCACCTGGTGTCGTGGAGGATGACGACCATTATGGGCAAAATCTTGTAGATCTGAAATTAAGAGAAGAAATGGATACATAAGACTCAACATTTTCACAATGGACATTTAAAGAACATTCAAAGGCCCTACGTGTTTTACCGTATGACTTATCTTCTGTCACAATGACTTTTCTGGTATCTACTAGTGACTTTGATGGAAAGTCAGAGCGAAATGGCACAGAAAACTGTCTCTGTGTGGTGTGGACCACATGTGGGTGGGGACTCCACAAACTTTGGCCCCCCTGCTGAGAAGATGAGCGACTTCTTTGTGCTACATCGACACTGTGGAGGGACTTACCCAACTAAAAAACCTGAGGATATTTTTAATTGTCATCAAAGCCATAATTATTCTAAATAACCCGAACCAAATTGCTTGCTACAAGGGAAAGTGTCTGATCTACTTAAAGGGATAGAAATCTGTGTTTAAAAATTGGTTAAAGAATTTTCTTGCCTCATTTAATATGAATGAGTCTCAAATCATGTGTATCATAGACTCTAACTATTGACAGTGCAATGGCATCATTAAAGGATAAAATTTTCTGACCATTTTAAAAGTATATTGGCCAGAAGCAACCATAATATAAGTAAGTGAGGGATAATATCTTGGAGTGAGGGATTGCCTTCAAGTCAATGAGTCGATGCAATCAACTAGTTTTCCTTAGATAGAAAACTTTGAATCAATTTGACTGTATGATCTGGTGAACTGTAAAGTGCATAATTATAACTGGAGATAACATGAGTTGTGAGTTGGCACTATAAAAAAAACTGAACTGAATTGAATTGGAACAAGTAACCGCAATATTGCTTCAAAGGACATATATATTTTCTCTAATAGTACTTACATTTCAATGTTTATCATTTCAATGAATAGTATCAATCCAATATTTAGATTATTTTACGATTTTACGATAACATCAGCAAGCACTGCTTTTTAAAACATTTAAAGGAAACAGCAACAAACACAAAGCACAAGCTTGTTTTAAGTGTACAACAAAGCTAGTTTTAGATCCACAAATCAACCTCAGTTAGATGCATCTTAGCACACAGCACAATTGGGAAATTACAAAATAATAAATTAACAGCAATGTTACTCCCAGAGAGCTATTGGACAAGATATTGTCACATCTTTGCATAGTGCACTGTATGTATGTACTGAAATAATTTGAGGAAACTATGCACACAGAGCAGAAAAGAAGAAGTGACAGGCCTAAAATACTAGCAGATTAACAGCATACAAGAGGCTGTGAATCAGAAGAAAGAATTGCAATGATCTCACACAGCATCTCAGGGAAGCATCACCTTCTGGCTGAGGCTAAGCTGGGTAGAGCTGCATGTCTCTGCTTACCAATAAGAAACTGATGGGTGTCAAACAGTTTGCATGGCTGTTCCTTCTCCAGCTTGTTGGGTTTGTCCACATATGGAGCCAGAGGTCCTTCCCAGTACACCCGTCCCTGACACATGCGCTTGGCATACAGCCCATCAGTTGTCATCCAAAGGAGCACTCCTTTCTCCAGGATGTTGGGAAGCATCTCAGCTCCTTGCCTCTGAGATTCAGGGAAGGGGGATGGAAAAAGAATGATTTCCGCACCACTGTGGAATCTGTCCTCTGGGCATGGAGAAGAGGAGGAGGAAGATGATGGAGAGGATGTCGAGTTAGAGGTAATCCGACAACCTTCTGGGCTGCTGACAGTGACCTCCTTCACCAATGTTTCTCTGTAGTAAAGGGATACATGCAGGCTGAAATCTGCAAGGAGGAGAGAGAGACAAGTGTTTAAGGAATGCATCTAAAGGCAAATGACAGCAGCTTGACCAAACCTAACCTGTAGAAGTTAACCTTCTACATTCACTCTTGTCTTCCTAATAATCACTTTTTAATAATCACGTTAGTTTGTTTGTAGTTTCTCATCACAATATCAAACAGACTACAAATGCTGCATAAATGCATTCCAATTAGCTCAAAGTGTTTCTGTCATACTTATATTGGCAAAAAAGCTCCACCTGATATGGCATTGTTGTGGTCCATCGTGTACATTGGTGGCTGAGACTCTGAAAGGTATGTGTGGAATGAGAGCTGAAAACCTGCAATAAAAAATATAAAGCAAGTAAATTAGGGGTGTAATAATTAATCGGATTAGTAGTGATTAATCAATTATTGAAATAATTGTCAACTAATTTAGTAATTGATTGGAGAAAAGAGACACTGAAATATGCCTTTAGCTGACAGAGCGACCCACCTTGAGCAGAAATTATACCAAAACTGTATAAAAAATATATGTTAACAATTTGCATTTAAGATAAAAATCATTTTCTGTTGTCAATATCCTCTATCCAGAACTCCTCAAGTGGAAAAGTTTTAGTTTCACCAAAGTTTCACAGAAAGTCTTCTTTAAGGAACCTTTCTCTATCTGATTATTAATCAATTAATCAAAAAAAATAATCGACAGATAAATCGATTTGCAAATTAATCGTTAGTTGCAGCCCTAAAGTAAATACAATAATTAAGAAATTGAGTGAGAGTTCACAAAAATATCAAATATTGAAGTTTTCTTAACTTACTTTTTATCCCCCAAACAAATGACTTTTTATCTTATCAACTTGTAATAGAGATTTTTTTTTGCATGTAAAAATAGGCTGGGCTCATATGTAGAAATCTATCCAAAACATAACACCATGAAGCTCTTGATTTACTTTTTTTTTTTAAACTACAGATTAGTAACTGAACAGATTAAACAGATTAAAGCCAATGCTGATATTTTATATGGATGATAACCTATAAAACTAATGTTCCAAAATCAAGGCCTTTACATAATGACACAAACAGATGCTCAACATTTTGTTCTACTTGATAATTGAATTAAACTATATTTATATCAAGTAATTTTATTGTAAGATATTTAAAAATAAAGCAGGCAAAATTCTAATTGTGTTACATGTAATTTAAATAATTTTAATTGTACACATGCTCACCATTTTCAGTGTGTGAACCAGGCCAAACTCTACTGATTGGTGACTGGTAGTGGCACTGACCATACTGCAAGTCAGTGTGTTGGCCATGGTGATTTGTGTTATGGAGAGAATGTTGTTCAGGCGGTGTATGATAGTCCCTCCAGTCCCTTCTTTCTGGAGAAAGCACAAAGCTGGGTACCTAAGAAGGAAAATGGCATGCCACTTAGAAAAATAATAAATTTCATGGGGTTTTTTTAGGATTGCTCGTTTGAGAGGCCTTTTTTATGATTGTTGTATATAATCTACTAACCTGGTTGTGCAGAGACGTATATGGTGGAATGTATCCAACTGGGTGTGATGGCGTTTCCTCCATGCGGCTCATTTTCATGCCTTAATATAACAAACAACAGGTACAATAAATAATTTCTTGCCACATATTCTTGATTGGGGGAGGGTTATTTCATTTACCAGGTTAATAATAATGAGTGAGCTGTTGAGAGATACGCAATAATATTTCATGAACTTTGTCGGATGCAAAGTGTGAAATATTTCATGCACATGTATAATTCACTGTTTTATTTAAGGACATCTTGCAGAGAGACTGCAAAGAAAAACAGAGTGCATCAAGACCATATTGACAATTAATATAAAGTTCACACAGTTTAAAACTGCTCATGTGTAACAATGGCTGTTGTATGATGGCAGAAACTTAGTTATGCAAGGCTGAGGTTGTCTTGTTGTGTTGTGTGCACTCTGCGCTTAGTAACCGAAGCCCTCTAAAAAAAGCACTACGGCCTTTTTGGTTCATGCGTTTGCTTCCTGTGCTTCCTGCCTCATCAAAATCAGCAGTGGTGCAAAATGTATGAAAAAAAAAATCACCAGTAGAGTATAAACAGTGCAAGTTGCTGTGTGAAATGTGAATGTGTTTTGAACATTTTTGCAACTGCACAGGCTCGAAGCAGACTTTATGATTTGCTCTCAAAATCTAACCACGAATTATTTTACTCCCCATGTTCTCTAGTCTTAGATTAGCATGTTATTGATCTAGATTTTGACTGCTGGTTGCATGAAAAGCTGTTAAAACTCACCCTTTTTGGTTCCCTCTGGGATGATTCTGTAGACTTTGTATGGTTCTGAGATGTCCAGTTGGCTTCTTTCCACTATTTCATCAAAATCATTGCTCTTGTTAAGGGCACAGCGTAGTCTGGTTTTCCATGTGGGGGGGTCTGGCTTGTCAACTCCTTCCTTATGCTTGCCCTTAAACATCGCCCATGCCTGTTAACAGTAGCATCACACAATTCAAGAACTGACTGGATTTATTCTGAACTTCCTCTTTATCAGGGACAAACTAAATTGAGACCATGTTACTCAAGCAAGAATAAACATTGTTAAAGTCAATACTTAAAACTGAGTAAGTTTTGAACTTTTTTAAAATATTTGTGTGACATCGTTATCTTTAGAAACAGGTAAAGACTGGAGTGCCTTACCTTAAACAAAGCGGCATCCTCCTCTCGGTTGTAGTCTTGTTTCCCTGCATGTTTCCACGGAATCCTAAAGATGGTTTTCTCATCATTTTCCCAAACTAGGCCTGGATATCTCCTGCTGTCAATCTGCTCTATCAGCCACTGCCTCAGCTTGCCATTGCCGCAGCTGCCGGTCAGACCACTGTCTTCATCCAGGTTCATCTCTGCACATCAAATGAGTCAACATGATATTTTAAAACAAACAAAACAGAAATTTGGGCAAATTCATATTTTTGCAAGTGAAATATTCCCAAATAAGCCTGATCTATTTCATTTACATAATTTATAACTGTACTTCCCAGTAAATAATGAGCAGTATTGTAACAGCAACCCAAATGTATTGGATTTAGTAAAAAGCAATGCTGTTTCTTGCCCATAACTTTAGCTCAGCATTTTGAAGTGTATCACATTAATTACATGGCATTTATACATTCCAAATCATTGCTTTCACGTTGGCTGCATGCACATTGACAGGATGCAAGTATGGATGCTGAAATTAATGATTTCCCTCATCACGTTCTGTCCGAGAAAATAAATCTGACTCATTTAAAGACAAATGCACGAATCACAAAGCTTCAGAAAGTCAAACTCAACCAATAGGAAACGGAGGTCAAAAATATCTTAATTCCAGAAACAATAAAAAAAAATAGTTACCAAAGAAAATACTACATTGTTGGGGTTTTGCAGAAATAATAATAAAAAAAAACTTTTAGTTAACGAGATGCAATTAAAGTTCAGTTATATTCTAGTATTTAAAGTGAGATAATTTAAAATCGCTCTGCTGCAGCCTACCTTTAAGTGATGTAGGGTCCACCGCGGAAATCTGTAATGCGGCTCCCGGGGTCCTATAAACGTTATCATGTCTTGTTTTTTTTTGTTTCAAAGGGAGGAGTCTGTCGAAGGTTCAAGAGATGGAGAGCAAACGCGCCTCAATTTCTGTAAAACTCTCAGCGCAACCCACGCAGCTCAGAGGTGGGGAATCCCTTCAGTGACACCCTGGGATGGAATAATCATACCTGTACAGTCACACAAATATCCCCTACTTTTACTTCATTAAGCAATTTGAGTCCATTAGTTTCCACTGCAAGCCACAATCAGTGTAAAAAGCGCACATGTGGAGCAGTTAGTGTTAACATAATATTAATACATGCATTACACCAGCAAAGTATGTTTTTTGTTCTTTTTTAAAAAAAAAAGCATGGCTATATATAAAAAAATAAATAAAATAAACTGTCATCAAACTTAAATTGACTTGTTTAGTCAGTTAGAAATACTGCCCTCTAGAGGTTATATGTGTCACAATGCAGCATGTTTGCTATACAAGGAGAATTCTAAGTATGCAATTGCATTTGTATTGCAGTTCTGGAGCTAATGAAGAAAAGAGAGCCAAGGTGATGAAAGGGTGTGATCTCAGTGCTTATGGTGCCACCATGCATGACCTCCCTCGAACATGAGACAAACAGGAAGAGAACCAGGAAACCAAGTAGCAAAAGCGTACAGCGTGTGTCTTATCACCTTCAGCATGACAGACCATCGACCAACAACCACTACCCATGCACTTGTCTTTGCTTCTTTTATTTGTCTCTTTCAGATCATACAGACACAATGAAAATGTACAAGTAAAAAAAAAAAAGACACATCTTAAACACTTTGATCAATAAATGCTAAAAATGCTGATGAAATACAAGTGTGGAAAGATATTTCCACCATTATAAATGTGCATTTTATTAAATGTGTAAGAGAGATACAGAGGATTGTGTTTCTGTGGCTTTTACAACTTCTACTAAGGTGCAAATCTGTTCAGGACATCACGTTTGGTTGAGCTGTCAAAGACCTCCTCATCAGCTCTTATTAAACACCTTCAGGCAAAGTAGATGCATGTTGTTCCATCTCTTCTTTGTTGACTTTTGGCACCTTTGCCAGTAATTCTTGAATATCAGCCGTATCGTTAAAGGGGTTGTCCTTGTAGCTCTTTCGAAGCCATTCCCTGAACTTTAAACGGGGAGGGAAACATTCAGTAAGTGTCAATGTAACTAAAAGCTACAATCACACACAGAAAATAAAGATAATCAAATTAGTAATTGGAAGGTCCAAAATAATTTTTTAAAATCTTATTATTAATCGTATTAACCCTAAGAACTCCCACCCGTTTTGATCAATAAAGCCATTAACTAACAGTTTGTCGTCATGCACTGATCAAAAAAAAAAAAAAAGTTAGAAATATGCTGATTAAATTGTATTAATCTTATATTTCCATCAATTTCTTTTGAAATTAAAAAAACTAGACTAAGTAATCAAAGAATGCACCATTTTTTCTATTTATGTTTTACCATCCCTGCAATAAACCAATATCAGTTACATAAAAAAGATGAAAGAAACAGTTCTCCATTTCTCAAACAACTCACCCCTTCAGCTTGAGTATCCTGAAACTCCTGCAGCTGCCTCTGGAAGCCCAGGTTGGGGTTGGCACAGGGCCGGACCACCTTCACAGCAGCGAGCACATCCTGCCAGCCCAGACCTGTCAAGGTCATGATGTAAGCTACCACCAGGGTGACACTGCGAGACACTCCTGCCAAACTGAGGGAAAACCAAGCTGCATGAATTTCCCCAATATTCTATTTTGCATACTTTATTTTATAAATTGGGTGTTTAAATTATATAAATTACAAGTCAGATTTTAAAATTATTGTCATCATTCTGTTTCATCTATATCAAATTATAAATTATAAACCCACAGCAAACGTATAACTTATAACAAACAATAACTGAGTCTAACGGATTATATCAGGTAGCAAAAATACTGTATATGATTCCCCTCTCATAACTCTGGCAAATAATGATTAAATGTCAATTAATCCAGAGTTTGTTGTTGATGAGGAGAGGAATAAACACAGTTAAAGACTTAAGGTGAATTCATTTCTTCCCATGCTATGGAGGGGGAACTGATTATTTCTGAAATATCCATTCTCTTCTCTCCTCCTCCCACATCTTTGGGAAATGAAGAGCAAATGTTTCCATTTTCTCAAAAATTGTTATGTGTGATAGCATGTTGTATACTAGAAATGTCCTTAATCCAGTAATCTGTCATATTTTAAATTAGAACGGTATTTAGCAGAAAGTCTATACTCTCATGTTTTCATCTTAATTTTTTGTGCCCTGCTATCAGCCAGTTTCCTCTTATATCACCAATGAAAAATGATAAATACACACGACGTGTTGGAAACTTTTTGGTGACTGACTTTTATTTCTGTCAAGCTGAAATGACAAAAGATGAAAACAGATTGATTCTCTTGGCGTTTAAAAAAAACAACACAAAACAGCTTAAAAATTTATTTATTAATTTTTTATTAATTTTTACAATTTTGTAAACAACAGCTGCTGATTAAACTGGATGTTACAATCATGACATGATTATGATGATTATGAGTGGTTTTTAACGAGAACTCGTTCAGAAGCACCGTGAAAATGGTCCCATCCACCATGTCCACCTCCCTGGCTTCAATACGCGCTCGCGACACAAAGGGAACTTCATACAACACCGGGACAAAGAATGTCTGGAGGTCAGTCAGAGCTTCACATCCCTGGGACATTAGTAATAGCTATTGGTGACAACTTCTTCTGCACGGGAATGCTACAGGCTTCTTTCCTGCGCATGATGCCACTATCTGGTGAATTCCGGTACTGCAAAGTTTACTCAGACCAGCTCAGAAGCAAGATCCAACGCTCTTGGGGAAACACCCGGGGCTGTAGCCCAACTAGCCACCCCCTAGATCTGCCACTGCTTTGCATGACCATGTTTTGAAATATCTGCTTTTACTGTCATATGACTGAAATGTAAGTTCTTCAGTTTGACCAAATGGCTCAGATTTTGTTGGGCCGGACGAAGACATTTGCGTGTTCCTTAAGTTCAATTCATATTTTATCTGGGCCGTTCTAAGACATGAACATGATTTCATCGAAGTGACTGCATACATTTCCAGTGTGTTTAGGTTTGTTGTTTTTTTTGGATGATGAAGCAACGCCCCAAACTAAAACTTCTTTCAACAAATAGTGTTTGTTTGAGAAAGGTTCTGTATTTAGCTTTACCCAACCTCCCACGAACCTGACTAGCTTCCCTTTCCTTGGTAAGTAAAGCCACCCCTTAGCCTGAGGCTGCCACCATGTTTGAATGTGGCAATGTTTGTCTAAGGGTGATCAGTGAGGTTACTTTTCCACCGCACAGTTTTACATATATGAAAGAACATTACACTTTGGTCTCATCTAACCAGTGCAGGTTCATCCACACGTTGTTGACCCCCACATGGCTTCTGGCAAACCACAAATGAGACATCTTATGGCTTTCTTCAACAAAGTTCAACTTATGGCTTTCTTGTCAGGGTAATGTCATATTTTCCCCACCTGTTGGTGTACTGTATGTCTACAGGCATGTCTTAGTAGGTTAGCAGTTGTTTGTGCCATTACTTTTTCCATTTTAGGAAGATAATTTGAAGAGTGACCCATGAGGTGATAGTATACAGCAAAAACAATCTGGAAATAAGTAAAATGTCTTAAATTAGCTGTATTCACCCTTAATTTGAGCAGGTAAATAAGATGATTTCCCAATGGAATCAGTAATTTTACTCTTAAAATAAGATAATATGATAATTAGATACTAAGACATAAGAAATAAGACAATGCAATTATTTTTTATTTTCTTAAGTATAAATTGTCTTGGTACATTGGCAAAGTGTCTCACTTACCTCCTCATTCACTTAGTTTAAGAAAAAATTACTTATTTAGATTTAAATTTTTTGCAGTGTAGCAGTGGATATATCTTTTTCCATTTGAAGAAAAATGCCAAATAATAAATCACACTAACGTATGACAGTTTGCAAACATCATGCTCTTAGCATCTACTTCAAGTAATAAAAGAGATTCATTTTTTTTAACATACAGAACAACAGAACACATGATATTGGTGAGTAAGGCTCTTATCGTGAAAGTCTACAGGAAGTTTTGTCTCATTTTGTCTGAAGCAATCTTGTGATGTTTTAAATCAAATAGAAACTGAGCTGCTTAATTGGTAAAATATCTTTTACGCTTTGTGGCAGTCCCCCAGATTCCTCCAGAGTATTAAGACATCACAGAAAACTAAATAGGAAATAAGTTAAAGAGACTTACAGATCAAAAAAATCTGTCGAAACGGTTACCACAATAAAAAACCCATCGCATCAGGGCACAGAGACATAGTTAGGAAGTTTCCTTCTACAATGCAGTGAAAAACCAAACACCACTAGAAGCCAAATAAAAATAACATTTAAAAAATTGAGAACTTTACAAAATACCTGGATTTATGCTGAGATTAAACCACATACAGCTCTGATCCATTTACAGATTGGTTGACATCTGAATGCATTTGGTTGCACTAGATTTCATTTAGGGCTATCTGATTAAAACAGGCCAAATACAAATGCGAACCACACTTTTAAGAATTTTACTAGTGAAAATTTGGAAAACCATGTATCACTTTCATTTCAGATAATTATAATCTTCTTCATGTTAATATATATCACCATAAATGCAAAAAAAAAATATATTGATTATTGTGGCTGTAATATATGAACACATGATTAGGGTCTAAAAAAAAATCATCTAATGAATAATAAATAGTTAAATGAAACCAAATCCAGTTTCTAAAACAAAAATGAAAGTAATACTCCCTTATATTGAACAATTTGGGCTTTTCTGAGTGACAGTGTTTCTCTCTGTTAGTTATGTATAAAATGTGAGCTTTGTTAATTTAATTAAGGCACGCCGAACTAAAACTGACAGTGGGTGGAGTTTTAAAGGCAAGACACAGCACTGATTAGTGGCAGTTAGCAGTTGATAAACACCTGGAAGTGGACATGGATATGGCCATCTCAGTTAGCAGCAGTTATTTTCTGCCCATGTCAACTCCCTCCTGGATTTCAGTGTGAAACACAGATGCCACATTTGGTCTCTTACTGCTGTGAGTAATCATCTGAACTGTATAATCATGAAGGACTGCCAGCAGAAAACAGATAAGCTTAAAGTCTAAAAGAAAACCCAGAAAATAATAAATTTTCTTCCAACTTTCTACTTAAAAAAGCCTGACACAGAAACCAACTTTGCAAAGAGGAAGATGTTTGCAATTTTCCATTAAGAACCATTGTAGGGATTAAATACTTTTTTATGACTTAAAGGACCAAAATTTAAAAAAGGGAATTATTCAATATGATACCTATCAGATGAAACTAAAGAGAGTGACAGACTGATAGAAAATAAAACACAGGAACTACAGGGTTAAATAGTGGAAGTGGTATCTAAATGCTGATTAAATGGATACATAAAACTAAACCTGCTGCAGATGATCTTATCTTTAAGATTTTGTTTCTTTGAAGTCAAATTATTGAAATGAGAGACTTTTGACACATGGCTCCTATATAAATAATCTAATGGATTTCTGAGAAGACCCTCTGTTAAACCAAATATAGTTCTACACCAAACACTTGAGTGAACCATCACACCACACAAGCAATGTGGTAAGACTTGTTACTGTACTTCGTTTTGGGAAGTTCAAGAATAGGCCTTCCTTTTTTTCTTTTTTTTTTGTAAATGCTGCCACTGCAGCAGTTACACATGGCTTCACTAGCGAGCACTGATCAGATATAAAAAAAAAAAAAAAAACTAAACACATATTTAAATTTGTGACTACATCCAACCAGAAAGCTCAATATACAATTTGCACTAACCAGTGAACGAGGCAGCCTTCTCCTTTCAGCCGGGACTCGTGCATGAACGTTATACTCTGTTTGAAATGTTGAGTTCTATCAGGCAAGAGAAAAAGAAAAGAAAAAAAGAACTTGTTATTGTAGGTCCAAGCACATAAACAGTGTGGAAACATCACAAGTTGTAGGCTACAGTGAAAACTACCCACATGCAACTATGAAGCGAACTACTCATTTACACCTTGCAGAGGTGTTTACTTTATTTGAGTTTTATTTAGATGTTTTAAAGATCTGGCAATGATAAAGGAATAAGAAAAGAGTCAACTGAGGCACAATTAAAGTCCAATTAATTGTTTATGTTAAACCTAAATAGCACAAAAAAGGCCTTTTAGAGCGATTCAATTATGCATGTTTGTCAAAAATCCAGCAGACTATCCAAGCAAAACATACTTCTATCATTACCATAATAGTTTGCCATTCAAACTGGTATTTAATAGGTTTCTAAACACTAAACAACTGCCAGAATCTGAGAGTTTAAGTCAGTTTAAGCCTATGGGAAATTGGGTAATAGCTTTCACTCTTTTACACCATCTTAATTATCTTGGTCACTTACAGAAAAAGTAACAAAGGAATGGTAAATGGCCTCGATTTGGATAGCACTTTATCAAGTCTGAGCGCTTCACACAACAAGTCATTCACCCATTACACACATATGTCACATGCTAATGGTGGTAAGCCCTAAGCACAGCTGCCTTGTAGCAGACTGACAGAATCAAGGCTGCACCACTGCGCCACTAGCCCATCCTACCAATAGCAGGTAAGAAGTGCATCCTGGCTTGTCCTTTGTAGAACAGATGAAGTCAGGACGCACTCCTCAGGCTCGAGGTCAAGCCTCGCTTTAAATCTCTTATCCTGGGATTTTTGGATTCAGCTTTTGTGAAATAGGCCTCTGGCATTGGAAACACAGAGAAAATTCGGTTCATAAGAACGTTTTTGTTACTTACTACAACTGTTTCTTCAGATATATTTAACACCATAAGATAATATTCATATCTGTACTAAAAAAAGGTGCAACATTTTACATACAGTATAGCTTTATTATCTATGCCAAAGGAATAATTGTTCATCAACAAGTTAATGTAGTTTTGTTACTTTGGTGCATCTGAAAGAAAATGTTTACTGTCATACGTCAAGCTTGTAATATTCTATATTTTCAATGTTAGCTTTAGGAAAATGAACCTAAGACACCCACAGAGCAGAAACCCAGTGAATGCCCTGCTCTTTCTGTTTGCCTCAGTTGGCTTAGTACTTACAGATTCTGTGTAGGCATGTCTGCTGCAGAGAGGCACAGATAAGTCATCTCCTAGTAGACAAAGCACACAGGTTACCTGTCAGCTGCTATGAAATATTTGCATTTTTAACAAAAGTTCCGAAAAAACTACACATTAATAGTTACATTTTAATGCCATAATTCTCCCCCCTGGATTTGATAGAAATATAAAATGGGGTCATATTTTTGATATAAATGTGCATCAATTTTCCATCACACTTCATTCCAGCTGGGGCCACGAGGGTTCCTATCTCCAGCTGTCTATGGGCGAGAGGCCTAGTACACCCTGGACAGGTCGCCAGTCCATCGCAGGGCCAGTTTTGATATACATATATTCTAGAAAAATGTGTGTTAGTGTAACTATAAATGCGTAATTGATTACAGCATCGTCTTACCTTAACTATAAAAGTCCTGTCCATGTTTGAACACATTTATTCAGCAGCACAAAAATATAAAAAATCCCTTGTTTAGAAGTCATTGAAGTAGAATCCATGGTGGCCCAATTAGTGGTACCTCTTAAGATTAAGCATTATTTATCTATACTTTGCTTGTTAAAGAGTCTCAGAACTCTATTAATCTGGGAACTTATGTTTGATTGTTGGAAACATGACTCAGAAGCCACATTTGTTTAACCAATGGTTGCACAAATACCCATTCTAATGCTGCCACAACACTCAGTGAGCCGGACAGTAAGGCAGATAAAAGAATCCTCACTGTAAGAGAACTAGAGCAAATATTGAAATCCTGAGAAAACAATACAATCATTTTAATTTATAAATAGATTATTTAAGAAGTATGCAAGAAAAAACGTGTGGTGACTGCCAAAAAGGAAAACATCCAATCAGGAAATGTTGCTTGTTAAAAAGAAAAAACACTGAATAACTAATACTAAAAAAATATAAAGCTTCTGTGATATCTTTCTATTTTTGTATTACCTAAACAAAGCTGGTATTAGTACCTTGTAATATGCAAATAGGATGGTTTTCTAGTAAATGGTCATGTACTTAAAAAATGTTTGTGTTCAAATGTGACAAGTTGTTTAAGCCTTTTAACTGTCATCAGTACCTCTACAATAAATTTAAATAACTAACGAGAAAAAGCATACAAGGCCATTTCTAATTTAGTCTATACTGCTATAGTCGCTTCATATTGATTTGCTGTTTAACCAAGTTAATTCACCTTGAGTTTACTCTCTGATTTGTAGTGTAACACATGATGCCATCTCCCCCTGCTGTTAGACAGTTATGTTATATGGTGTTGTCTGGATGTGTTGGAAAATTTCATTCCCGCTGTGCTTAACTGTCCTAAATCGAGTTGTGTAAATGTTTGTTTTCTTCCCTTTAAATACTGCATTTCATCATGGTTGGAGATTTTTGGACATATTTGAACGTTGGTCTCTGATTTGATGTTAGAAGTGTCATCCTGTATGTGTTGGAGATGCTGAAAATGATAATAGAGCCACTATTTGCTGCACCATCAGATGACTGTTTCTAGCATTACACAAATGTTGATGTGAAAGTTTACATACCCTCCTATTATAGAAAATTATAAATTCACACTAATAATGCAAGTAACAAAATTGGGGGGAAAAAATTAGTTTAGTCGAATAAAATTTTGATTCAAATCTAAAAAAATAAATAAAAAAAAACTGTCCCAGACAAAGAAAAGTGCCTTGCTCATGAACAGTAAACCAACATACCTGTCAACAGGTGCAGAAGAGCTACTGATCATCTCCTGAACATTTACAAAAAGCACCTTATTTCAGTGATTGCTTCAAAGTTTTGCTCAACAACGTTTTAGTTCAGGAACCCAATCAGGCTTGTTTATTTATTCATATATACATACGTACATATGTACGTACGTATGTATGTATGTATGTATGTATGTATGTATGTATGTATGTATGTATGTATGTATACATAAGCAGTAGGGATGGAACGGTTTATGAAAACCGTCCAAACCGTTCGGTTCGACTGTCTCGGTTCGATTCACGTGTGTTGCGTTCGGTTCATCCGCTGTTCCTTTTTCTCATAGGCGAAGCGTTTACACTCCAGAGCAGAAGGTGGCGGTACTGCGACCAAAGCCAACCACCAGTAGTAAACAAGAAGAAGAAGAAGCAAAGCAGCGTAGCCGGGTGTAGCAGAAAAAAATCAGTTGTTGTGGAGTTTTGTGTGGGTATGGCGAGTGGGAAAGAATAGA